GACGGTTTCAGTCTCGATCCCAGCCCAGGCCGCACCTACCGGAGGAGGGAGCGGACGCCCTCAGCGGCGTCCCGCAGCGGCTCCAGGTAGAGCTCCAGCCGCCGGTAGCTCCGCACCAGCTCCAGCAGATCGAAAGCAGCGGCGGCCTTAGGCAGCGACGGCTCCGGCGGAGCCTCACCGGCTCCCGTCGCCCCTTCGGGGCCGCCTGCCGCCCCGTCCCGCTCCATCGCCTGCATGATGGGACCGGGAGCGGCAGCCGAGCGGCCCGGCCGCGCTCGGCCCGACACCGCCGCGCGCTCCCGTGACGCGGCCGGGCGCGCCGTGAGCCCCGCGCGCGGCCAATGGGAGCGCCAGGCCGGGCGAGCCGCCGGAGCCCCGCCCTGTCCGGAACGGGCCGCTCTCGGGGCCGCCCCGCCGCTCCCGGGCCCTGCCCCTCTCGGGCCCCGCGGCCAGGATCTGTTCAGCGTCCCGGCCCGGTCCCGATTCGGGTCTACTCTGGTGTAGGCTCAGTCATAGCCTGGATCCGATCCCAGTCCACGGCTGGGCACTGATCCAGGTCCAGTCCTGGTTCAGGGCTCAGTTCTAGTCTGAGTCTTGGCATCCAGCTGTGTCGGGCACAGTGGGTTTGTCCCCATGAGGTTGCTGGGCCACCTCTCCCCGAGGAGAGGCCAGAGGGCAGCCTCACACGTAGAGTCCCTGGAAGGGAGCAAAGGTTCCCCACAGGCCCATGAGCGTGGCTGGCAGCTCATTCGCAGCCCCTCCATGCCCCCAGAGCAGGCCAGCCCTGCATGCACTGGCACTGTCCTGCCCAGCAGTCTGCAGCCCTGCTCGCACCACTCCGGGCACCATGGTCCTAAAAGGTGCTTGCAGTAGAGCAGGGATGCTGGCTCCCAGGATGTTCAGGGGATCCTGGGCTTCATCTGATGCCAAAAGTTGTAACCTTGCTATAACGTTATGCTGGCTCTTGGACAATGAGGGTACAATGTTGCTGTCGTCTGCCTGCAGCCTCTGTGAACAGGGCATGTGTCCCAGGGGCAGAAGGCTGGCGACCCAGTGACACCCCAGCTGCAAGTCCAGGTCCAAGACTCAACTCTGTCCCAAGAGTGCGTCCTAGAGCTGTAGCCAGTCCTGGGAGATGCCAATAGCCCTCCATTGGCCCCTGACCCACCAAGGGCCAGAGAGTGTGACTGCCCAGTGGTGCCCTGGGACAGAGGGTCCTTTCAGCACAGAGTGACAAGGCACTTAGGAATGCAGCTACATCCTGTCCTCAGTACATCCCATAGCCACAGAGCCCTAGGGACTTGGCCTCCCTCTGCTCTGTCTGGAGCCTTTCTGAGCATCACGCTGTGCCCTGTCTCTGGAAAGGCAAAAGGGCCAGGGATAGGCCCTGTCCCCAAGGGGAGAGGCTTAAGCCTCTCTATTAGGAGCAGTGGCTCAGCATCAGGGAGCCTGCCTGTGACCCCAGAGCATCCCAGAACTTTGTGACCATTGCCAGAAGTTCCCAGCAGAGAGGCCCTAGGGTGCAGGGCTACAGAGCTGGGTGTGATCTCAGTTCAGACCTCACACCCAGCAGGTCCCAGCCCCAGCACAAAGCCCCAGACACTCAGTGAGCGCCAACATTGCTTTATTTGAAAGATGAATCCATTGGGACCTGAAAGGAGGCTGTAGGGGTATAGAGCTGGGGTGACAAACAGGGCTGCAGAAAGCCAGGGGAAGGCACTTGTGGTGGCAGAAGCACCGAGGGCATTTTGGACAGCCTGGGCCAAGGGCTGCACCAGAGTAAGGCAGAGGCAGGCAGTGTCAGGGACCAGCCTTGACACAGGGCACAGACAGCATGTCCTACCCAGGGAAGGGGTACATGGCCTGGGGCTTGGCAGGGCCCCTGAGCATGATTCACTGGGACAGCACATCACCATGAAAGTGGTGACCCAGTACCAATCCCAGATCCCTTCAAGCCCCCAGGGGAATCATGGCTGTTGCTCTTCACCTCAAAAAAGGCTTCAGGAAACCCCCAGGCAACAGGCAGCTGTGGCTAGCTGCTGGGGACACCCATCTCACTGATCTGAGTCTACACAGAGACTGGAGCAGACCCTCCCTTGCACCAGGAACAATAGAGAGGACCTGCCTCCAAGCAGGATGAGGAGGGCTTGTGGCAGGGCAGCCCTAGTGTGCTGCTGCTCCAAAAATTCTTTCTCTGGCTGCCCATGTCTCTAGTCAGCCCTACATGGCCTTGTTGGGGCTTGGCACCTGGTGGCTTGCGGAAGCTGATCCAGGGCTGGGCTGGCTCCAGTGCCAGTGTCCTCTTCTGTTCTCCAAGACAAGTTGTGTTCCCACAATGCCTGGCCCCAGCTCCACCATGACCACAGTGCCAGCACAGCCTAGCACTGCCATGCTGCAATGCTCACCCTTCCCCTTCATCTCACCACAGTCTCCAGGCACTGCCCAGTCCCAGAGAGTCCAGAGATGAAAATTTTCCAGGATGATAAACCAAGTGCGGCAGAGACAGGGCTGCAGGCTGGTCTCCAGAACCATTAGCGAGGCTGTTTCTGTCCCTTTTGGAGTTGCCTGGCCCCAGGGCTGTTTCAGTGGCTCTGGGTGGCTTGGAGCCACAAATCTCTCTGCAGGGACAGCAGGAGGAGAGAACAACCCCATGACAGGCTCCCCTCAACCCCTGGGGCACCTGGCCCCATCCCAGGACTGTACAAACTCCAGGGCTGGAGGCCCAGGGTCACAGAACAGGTTACGGCTCCACTTGTCCTTCCCCTCCTTCCACAGCAATGGAGGTCTTGCTGCTCTGCTCAATCTCCAGACTGGGCTGGGGTGATGCTGGATCTGGCTGTGCAGTACCTGGGTGTCTCCACACTCCTCAAGTGCAGGACAGGGAGGTGCTGAGCCCTTTGGGGCTCCAGTAAGATGAAGGATGTTTTCAGGCCAGACAGAATGAGGGGCCCAGGCTGGGGAAGCCAAGCTCAGAGCCTCCCTTAGGGAATTGTGGAGGCGCCATGCAGCTGGAATGTCAAGACAGGACTGCCAGCAGGCAAGGGGAGTTTATGCCCATCCAACTCCACTAGGCACTGCTGCCCCCAGCTCAGCTCCCCCAGGCCAGTCCCCCTCCACCCCAGAGAAAAGTCAGCACCCACCTGAGCAAGCAGCATCTGCAAGACCAGGGGCAGGGGATTTTGGCTTGAGTCCCAGGGGGGGCTCCCAAAGATTGGTATCCCTCTTAGAGGCTCTCCATTTGGGTCCTTCCACTTGCAGTAGCCTACGTCTGTCCAGGGCTGGGAGAAGGGCTGTTCAATGGCTGGGTGTCCATGCTGTCTTGGTGCGCTGCAGGGGAAGCTGTGCTTGGCAAAGGCCTCTGTCTGTCCGTCCGTCTGTGCAGGAGTCTCTGGAGGAATTGCAGTGCAGTCAGCCAGGAGGGGATGGGGTGGCAGGGTCATTTCATCCCAAAGACAGGCTGTGTTCCGTCTGCAGCTGAGAAGGGGAGCCAAGTGGCATGGGGTCTCAGATGATGTCTCGCTGGTCCTGGCAACGCCGTGACAGGCAATAGAGGCCGGAGAAGAGGTACAGGCAGGCAGTGATGCCCCCGCAGATGGAGGCACTCAGGTAGGCACTGTACAGGCAGTGCTGGCTGTACCCCGGCAGATTGCAAAAGCTCCTCTGCTTGGCCTTGTGACCCATGATGCCAGTGGCAGCTGCGTAGAGCCCCAAACCCAGTGCCAGGTCGTGCACCAGGTTGGTGAGAAGCCAGCGGGAGCCCAGCCAGGGTACCAGCTCCCAGCGCCCCAGCAGGCTCAGCCCGAAGAGGGCCAGAGTGAGGAGCCAGACCAGGACGGCGGCAAACAGAGCGAAGTGGGCCGCCCCCTCGTACTTATGAGCCGCTACCGTCACCCAGAAAGCAGCGCCCAGAGCCAGCTGCCCCAGGCGTAGCAGGCCCAGCGGGCTCCGCAGGTAGGCGCGATGGAGGCTGAGGGAACCGCGGGCCGGCGGCCCCGGGGGCGGCGGCACTGTCGGGGGAGCAGTGCGGGCCATGGCGCGGCCCTGCCTTCTCCGGCGCGGCTCGGGCGGGACTCAGGGCCCCGGCAGCGACTTCCTCCCTGCCCGTTGCCAAACATCTGGCACTTAGCGGTCCTCCCCTCGCGGGGCCTCCTCTCTCCTCTCCTCCCTGCCCCGCCTCCGCGCCCCGCCGCACCTCCCGCCAGCCCATCGGACACCCGAGGACCGCCGCGGATGCGCCGTCGAGCAAGGATCGTCGCGTCCCTCCCCTCCGCGCCGCGCCCTGCTGCCGCCGGAGGAGGCCACACCGAGGGGCGGCAGGAGGACGTGGGAGACGGCAACCGATGCCAGCGGCGGGGTCCAGGGACACCGCACTGGGACCCCGTGCGGAGGCCGGAGGGGGGCGCGCCGGGATTCCCCTTACGTCATCCGGGATTCCTCTCGGAATGAGGCGCGGCTTCGCCCCGCCCGGGGGCGAGGCCTCGCACCCCGCCCATGACGTCATCTGCGCCACGTGGCCTCCTCAGCGGAGCGGGACAGCCGCGCCCCTCGGCGCCGATTGGTCCTGGAAGCGGGAAGTGGGCGGGGATTGGCCAGGGGGCAGGGCAGCACGCAGACAGTGAATGAATGGGGCGCGCGGCTGTGGCGGGACCCCGGCGCGGTGGCGCGAAGCGGGTCCGGGAATGCAGCGAACACCAGGCGGAGCCGCCACCGCCAGGTCTGTGCGAGGGGCCCGTGGGCACGGGGCGGCGTCGGAGCGAAAGTGGATCACGGCGGGGCCCAGCGCCTCGGGCAGGGCGGGACCGGACTTGCGTGCCCCGGCCCGAGCCGGGGCGTCTCCCGTGTTCCCGGGCGGCCCCGCCTGCGTGGCTGGGCCCCTGCCCGGTGTCTCGGACCGCCCTTCCCCCGATGCCCTCCCTTCCTCACTGGGCATCCGCGCCGGATCCCGGGGGAGGCGGACCGGAGCGGGCGGCGACACTGGAGCCTGACGCCGACTGTTCGGTGCCCGCAGCGGCCAGGGCCATGGGCACTCCGGCCTCAGTGGCGAGCGACTCTCCGGGACGGGCGGCGCCCGCAGCCCGCGCCCGTAAGCGCGCCTCGGCCAACATCTTCCAGGGCGTGGGGCTACGAGAGCTGCGGAGTCTGTTCCGGAGCGGCGGGGCCGAGCGGCCCGAGGAGCGCGCCCGCCTTGTCTGGCGGTACGCGGGCCAGCGGCGCATGGCTCGGGCCCTGCGGCGGCTTCGGCGACGGCGACCGGCCCAGCCCGGCGGCGGGATGACGGCGCTACGGCGCTTCGAACACCTTCGGTAGGTGCGGCCCGCGGCGGCGGGGCAATCGCGGGAAGAACGGCCGGGCCATACCGCTAACACACACCTCTTGCCCCTAGGATCGCGGAGAAGCTGGAGTGTAACTGCGGGGGAGAGACAGGCTCGGGATCCATGTAGCAGCGCTGAGAAGCTGGGCCGTGGAGAGCAGCTCTCCAAGGACCCTAAGTGTACTGGGCAGGGTGCAATGAATGGTTAATAAAGGGTGGACAGTGGTGGCTGGTTGTGTCCTGCCCATGCCTGAGTGGCAGAACCATAGTCCAGGTTCTTGTACGGCACATTAGTGCAAGGGGAACAGCCCCACACCACGGGTCAGGGTGGAACAGATAACCCACAGATCTGTTCCAATCTCCCTGCTTAAGCAGGGTCATCCTAGAGCAGGTGTCACAGGTGTCTGGATTGTATCCAGATGATTCTTGAATATCTCTTATGAGGGAGAATCCACAGCCTCTCTGGGCAATCTGTTCCAGTGCAGAGTCACACAGTAACTGCCCTGGCACAGTCACAGGGACAACTAAAGAACAAGCTTGCCTTGCACAAGAAGGAATGTTTGGAAGAGATAACAGACATTCTCCAGGGAAAGATTTCTCTGCTGGAAGTCCAGGTGGCTAAGCTGGAAGAGTATAGCACCCAGGAGAACGGAGAAGGCACGGGGGACATTCTGAATCTGAAGGAGCTAAAGTAGGAGGTAGCCAGCCTTGCTGCCAAAAGAGCAAAACTCCAGGCCATGTTCCTGTGGCTAAAGGAGGGGAAGCAGCTGCAGAAAGCAGCCTTGCAGTCTGAATGTGGCCATTTCGAGGAGAAGTGGCAGCTGGGCAGCCTCATCTTCAGCCTCCACAGCTCCCTCTCCAAGAGCCACTGGGCCCAGGAGAGACTGAAGCAGGACCTGCAGACACAGGATTCCAAGGGACAGCCTGGGCAGCTGGTTGCCCTCAATGCCCAGCATGAGCAGACAGGAAAGGGACTCTGTCCTGCAGCAGCTCCAGCAGTTGCAGGAGGCCAGTGCATCCCTGTGCAGGTACATATGGATACCAGCCATAGGCTGAGGAGCCCCAACCTGCTCTAGCGTGTTGCAGAGGTGCAGATGTAGCCAGCTGAATGGCAGCTCTGTTATTCATGGTTTAAATACATTACATACATTTCTACAGTGCATTAGAACAATACATTTTGGGTCAGTCAAATGCAGCTGGGCCTGGCCGGGGAGTTGGGATCTCCACTGCTGCCCCCTCTGTGCTTACACAGCCAGTGCTGAGCCCCCTCCCCATTGCAGGAGACAAAGCAACTGCTCTGCCTTCCCAGGTTCACCTGCCTTTAATCCCTCTCGCTCTCCAAAGATGGGCTAACAGGACAGTAAGACCCAACACTGACTTTCCCCAGCAGCCTGAGAAGTCACAGCTCAAGGCAAGCAGGTGCAGGCAGCAGCCCTGGTGCTGTTTTATACAACACAAGCTCAGCAGCTGCTGGTAAGAGAGGGGCTCCCTGCCTCCCCCACCCACAGCAGGCCTGCAAGATTGTCAGCTCCAGGGCAGCCAGGAGTCCATGCTGGTCCCCCAGTGCTCCCACCCATGTAGTCGAAGAGCCCCTCTGGCCTTTCCCTAGCAGCCCCTGTCCCTCAGAGGGTCCTTAGGCACAGACAAGGCTGGCACCATGCTGGCTACACAGCAGCCAGGAAGCTTGCTGGGAAAGAGGGAAAAGGTCAAGCGAGAGCAGCCATGGAGACCAGGTAGGAGAAATGGACTGGGGCAGAAGGGGAGAGCTCCCATGGGAGAGCTCTGAAAGCCACCTGCCCTTCACAGGGACAAGCCAGCACTTTTTTCTCCTTACTGTCTAACTGCACCCAAGCCAGTACCATGTCTTGTTCCTCTTATGTCCCCTCCTCGAGCCTCTAGCCAGAGAACAACCGTTCATTGTGGTCCCCGCTACACCAGTGGGCAGCAGGAACTCCCCCTGAGGAAAGCAGCGTGCACGGGGCTGGGGCACTGGAGGGACAGTGAAGGAGTACAGCACACCCTCAGGGAAACAGAGGGGGTATCACCTGCTAAAGGCCTTCCCAGCCTGGCAACTGGCATGGTGGGGAAAAAAAAAGGGCCAGTGGCTGGTGTAGAGGGCTGGACGGATCCTGGCGCAGGTAGCCTGTTCATCCCAGCCCCAAGCAGGGGTGCTCAGAACCACATGCAGGCCAAGGAACAGAGGCAGGAGCAGGGTTCCAGCCATGCTACAGTTCCTGGCAGACCTCCACACCTCCCCCTGGCCTCTGCCCCAGGCAGGGCACCAAGCTCCAATGGAGCTGGGGAGGGACCATGCCCAATCTGCCTGGCTCCTCCAGTTCAGCTGCAGGTTCTTCCAGCCGCATCTGCTTGCTCTACCCTGAAGGTCGAGTTCCAGCCACAGGAGCCAGCAGTGGCCCAGCTCCTCTCGCAGTGCTAGTCCGAGGTGGCCAAGCCCTGCCCACGGCTCTCACAGCTACCACCATGAGAAGAAAGGCTTCCGGCTCTGGAAGCTCTGCGTGTAGGACTCACTGGCGGAGCGCTGGTGGGAACGTGCTGTTTCCACAATCACGGGTGGCATCTGAACCAGGTGCAGTGGACTCTTCCCATCTTTCAACGCCTGAGTCAGATTCAGGATCTGTATGGCACAACAGAGCAATGCCTGAGCTGCCCTGCCAGAGCAACAGAGAGCATACACTCCAGCACCCTTCCTGATACTATGGCAGGACAAGTATTCCTACCTCAGCCATCTGTCTTTCCTATGCACAGCTTACCTGGCCTCTCATGACAGCAATCTGCTTGTGAAACTGTCCCCTGTCAAAGCCAGGGTCTTTCTGCAAGAGAGAGAGCAAAGAATACAAGATCCAACCACTGCTTCATGCCATGAACAAGATGCCTATTCCCCAAGTAAGCCCCTCCCTCTGTCCTGTTCCATGGGTTTCCTGCATCTCCCACATTGAATCTTCAGCTCCTGGCAGACGGATAACCCTGCTGTGCCTCAGCCCAGAAACACTGTCAGAAGCCTGACCACCTTTCTGTCCCTGCAGCCTTGACAGGGAGCTCTCCAACACCACTCCCGTTTTCCTCCTACCACATAATCTTCACCCACTCCTTCAGCTCACCTTGAAGAGCTCATACAAATCTTCTTCCAAGTCCTTGACAAAGTTGGGGTCTGAGATCTTGGGAAGAATCAGGTCCTTGATCTCCTGTGAAAAGGGGATTTTGGCCTGGGGTAGCCATGCCCAGTAGAACGGATCTGTGGAAGGAAGCAGGAGACATTAGAATTGGGGGAAGCAACACATGCTGCCACATATCCTTGGGTGCAAGATTCCCTGCATCTGGGACACAGGGTCCAGCATCTGCCTTCTACAGTCTCTGCTCAGGAGCTGCCCATGAACCCAGAAGTTTCAGAGGTACAGCCCTAGTCCCCTCCTCTACAGTCCTTGAGGAAGATTCCCAAGCATGACGTTGTATGGCTTGCCATGGTGCCTTGGCATAGCTTGAGGGACTCACATGCTCTCCAGGAGTCCGGGTGTTTCAAGGGAAAGGCCAAACCATTGTCTATAGCAGCCAGCTTGATGATGGGCTCCTTCACCACCACCCAGTCGCTGTCCTGGAAGGAAGTGAAGCATGTCACAAGGAGGTCCTCCCAGCAGGAACAGTTCTTCTCCTACTCCCTGCATGTCCTGTCAGATCTCTGCCCTGGCTGCCAGAGGCACAGCAGCCTCTTGCCTGTAGCATGGCCCCTTAACCACAGGGAAACATAATCTGCTTTGGGTGGGAAGGGGGACAAAGCTGCTTCCCTCCCAGGCCTCACTCTAAGGTCCAGCAACACCAGTTTCCCCCCCAGAGTTCAGCTGTATCCTCAAGAAGTCCCACTAGGCCACAAACCACCAACACAAACAGTAACAAAAGGCCCAGGAGACAAGATCAGGCCTCAACACACTTGGAAACCCAAGCCAGATGGGAAATTCCTGTCCTGCCTGCCAAGCAGGCAGCTTCCAGGAGCAGAGTACCTGTATTTCCCCTGTGCAGGAGCAGCCACTCACCCGCACACCCGCGCTATCCAGGGGACAGTCATACTTGATGAGCCAGTTGTCATTGCCCCGATCTGCAGGGAGATAAAACCAACTGTGTTTGCATCAGGGCCTCCCTGCACCATGCTGGGCAGAAGACTATTCCTCCTCTGGCCCAGAAGTGAGACAGATACATTTTAGGCACAAACTCCCAGAGCCCTTAACTTGCTGCATGGGAAGCCACATCAAGTCCCTCACAGACAGCCCTAGAGGTCCACATATTGCAGCTCCCAAGAGAAAGGTCAGTCTGCAAGCCCCAGCATGCAACCTCAATCCCTTCCAGCCTGGCAGAAACTCAGGAACACAGTGTGAAATGGGGTACAGGGCACAGTTAGGTGCTGGATTTCTGGATCCTCACAGCTGGAAAATTTTCACCTGAGCACTGTGGTAGATTCAGACCTGCAGTAAATTGGCCAGCAGCCTGAGCCACAGGTGGTGAGCAGCCCAGCAGCTGCACTTTACCTAGAGGCAGATGTCACCTGGCAGCAATCAAGGGGATGAGTTTTGGGTGCAGGGAAAACCCACCAAAACCCTTTCTCCAGCATGGTAGGACATGAAGGAGCAGGCAGCATCCAATGCCAGGCAGCTGGCCCTACCTGTATTCCTGATGATGTAATCCAGCACTACCAGTCGTTCGAACTGCAGCAGCAGCTGCCGATTAGTGTTCTCCGGGAGCGGCTCAGCTTCAAACCGCCGCAGCCAGTAGTCTGCATCCTTGTAGCCTTCCACAAAGAGCTGGAAGGAGCCCACCTGAAGCAAGGGTTACAGGCTGCATTACAGAAGGCCAGGGAGGTACCAACAGGCAGGCATGGAGGCTGGCAGCCCTACCTTGGGTGGTAGACCAATGCGGTTGAAGCGCTGGCCAACTTTCGGCACCTTCTCCAGGGCCAGCCTCTTTCCTCGGGACTTCACCCTGTCAATGGCACTGTAGTTAAAGGTCTCACTGGCCAGATACACCACCTGGAGGAACATGAGCACAGTCAGCAGGGACCTCTGGCAAGTCACAGGACTGCCTGATAAAACCAAGACACAGCATTTCCCACAGCTCTGCCTAACACAAGGATTCCCAGGGTTTAAATAGAAACAGTCCCAGTCTAGAGCACTCCATCTCCTAGGTCAGCAGTGCCACAAGATAAGGTGCAAGCAGAGCTGTGTGGAAGCACACAAAAGCTTCCCCAGAACAAGACCCCAGCAGCTGTCTCCTCACCTTTGTGCGGGGAACAATGTTGAGTTCCAGTTTCTGGTCTACCAGGCTGGCACCCGCCTCTGACAGGTAGCCCTGGTTCAGGACAAGGCAGTCTCTCCCAAAGCAGCACGGACAGCACAACTTCTGCAGCCACTTGGTCCACTTGGGGTTCAGCTGCCCGTATGGCTCCTCATTCTTGGGCTTGAAGACGCCAATGATTTTCTGTGAGTGGGAGAGAAGAGGGCTGAGTCCACGAAGTTGGCAGAGCTGGGACACCTTCGCCAGCCCATAGCAGGGACACTACAGAAGAGGTCCAGAACTTCCCCTCATTAGATTAATAACCAGTCTCCTGGGATCAGGCAAAACCCCACAGCTCCTGGGAGGGAGGTGGGCAGAGCTGGGAAGAACCCCCCTCCAGCCAGTACCCCATTCCAGAAGAGCAGAGTGTGGCCCAGAGACCTTTATATACAACATATATCGCAAAAAACACCAGTGATGATGCAGTCTCCTGGTAAACACATCAGTCTCATTCCTGCAATCTTTGGATGGCTGGGGAGAGCTACTGCTCATCGCTGGTCATTACATCCACACAGGAAAGGGATAGCAATCCCTGCCCTGGCTCAAAAATCCATTGAGCAGAGCTGATCCCAAGCTGACCAGAGGAAAAGGACCGTAACAGCCAAGCACCTGCAGGACCCCAGAGGAGCCAAGGGCAGAAGGGCTGACTCTCTGGATACACTGTGGATGAAAAGGCACAGGCTGCTCCAAACTGGTCACCAGCTGGTAGCAGCAGCACTCCCAGCCTCTCAACCCAGCCTTGCATACACCAGCCCAACAGTGAGGACAGCAGTGTGGGTACCTCACTGCCACAGAGGCCACAGAAGCCTTCTGCAGGGCACTGCACCACTGAACCAGCCCTTCCACGGCACACAGATGAGAGAAGAACTGGGACAGGACAAGGCACGGCCACCTGTCCCCACAAGTCAGGCACCCCTGGGGGGCTAGAAGTCCCTGCTCTGGGGTGACTCAGCAGCACATGCAAGCAGGCCTTCTCCCCAAAGGTACTGCTAGCCCTGGCCTGAGTGGGCATCACTTCCCTGACTGAGCTCCTGCCAGAATGTGGAAGTAGATGAGTCCCACTGCTTCATCAGGGAACCTCAATGCAATCTCAGTCTGTCAGGGGCCAAAAGCCAGGCCAGAGCAAGCAGAACCAAGGTTTTGTCTACCAGGAAGACAGAAAGGAAGGTTTAAGGGAACAAGATCACTTGAGCCATGTCCAAATCACATGGTGGAGCCACTTTCCCACGGCAGGCAGGAAGGCAAACCCCTGTACCAGCCCCACAGGGCTGTCACATGACCATCAACCCATCTTTGGATATAATCCCGCAAAGAGGCCTGTCAGGAGGAGCGCTGGCAGCATGAAGCCCTGTGCTCCATGGAACCAGTCCAGCCGAGCAAGGCCCAGCCAGGCAGGGACAGTACTGAAGTGGAAACCAGAGGCCTGGCAGCACAGCATCCCCTTCCAGACGGACCCGTGCTGAGAGCAGCACTGACAGGGAAAACAGGTCTGCCTGGTGCCGGCAGCAAGGCACAGGGAGCCCGGCCAGCACAGAGGAGCACCTAGCAGTGGGGTGATCGTAACTACTGGGGCTGGGCAGCACAGCCCAACTGGAACAGCTCAGGCCTTAGTAACCTCAAGAGAAATAATCAAAGAGGAAAGTTCTTCCCCCCGATCTCTTCCCCCTGCTGCCCACAATATCTACATGCTGCACTCTCTCCCATGCCAACAGTGGGATGTTTCTGGTAACCCTGGGCAGCACTCACAGCAACCACTCACACACCATGTTTGCTGACAGCAGGATAATCTGGGGGACCTGCCAGCTGACAACACCAGAAGTACACAGACTTTGGCTCCTCGCACTCATGTTCCAGCAGCTGTCCTTGAGCTTGGGTCTCCTACAGCCAGGCAGCCTCCAAGCTGCAATCCCCAGGCAGCTCATCTGGCTGCCCACTCCAAATCTCATATTGGGCAATAGGAGGGAACTGGGCTGTGGCACAAGTGTGTATTTCCCCACATGCCATCAGCTGAGCTGGGAACTGCCTGCCACAGCTTGCAGGCGCCAGCCTTCACCCACAGAGGCAAAACTAGGACACACCAGAGACCACAGAGCTCACTCCTACTTCCCTGGAAGCATCCCAGCACATACGAGGCAACGGAGTCACAGGAAACAGCAACAGCTCAAGTAATGAGGCAGGGAACAGCAGGTCACAAGACAAGCCAGCCTGTGCTGCACACTCATCCAGTCAGTGGCACAAAGACGGCTGCCACACAGCTGACCAGGTCTATAGGGGACCAGCTACATGCCAAGGACTTTGTCTCGATTATACCAATCACACAGCCACAAAGAAGACATCTCAGTTCAAAAAAACAGGCTAAAACCAGCTCAGCACACAGAGTCACAGCCCTGAGGCTGGAGTCACTGTGTTCAGATGCTGATACACGGGCCTGTGGGATGGGGTGACCCCTCCTCCTTGGGCACGAAGCCGCAGAAGAGGTTGAATCAGCACTTGGACACTGCTACCCCACACTTTCGCTGCTGGATCCAGTGTATTTCTCCCCGGGGAGGCTCAGAACCGCTCTGGCCGCTCCTTCCAGCCCTCCGCGGCCGCTCACGCCCGCCAGTGTCGCTCAGCCCACAGGCCTCCGGAGCGACGGGAGCGGCACCACCCCGGGGTCGGCCACACGGGGCTAGGCCCAGCTCACCCCCTGCGGGTCCTTCACGAAGTAGCTACCGCTGGAGCCCTGCGAGATGCGCTCGGGGAAGATGCCGCGCTCGCTGGCCAGCTCAGCCCGCCGCACCACGTCGGCAAACTCGGGATCCTCGGGGAAGTCGTTGCGCTCCCTCTGCGCGGCCGCCGCCGCCGCCGCTGCTGCCGCTGCCGCCGCCTGGGCCTGCGCCTGGGCCTGTGCCGCTGCCGGGCCCCGCGCCCCGCGCTCCAGCAGCGGCTGCCGCTCGCGGTCGCGGCCACCAGGGGAGCCGGGAGGGGAGGGCGGCGGGGGCGCAGCGGGCGGGAGGGCGCGCACGGCACCCCCCGGCAGCCCATAATCAGGGCCCTGCGCCCTCTCCGGCGACACCAGCGGGCTTGTCTCGTCCATCGCGCCGCCCGCCCGGCCCCGCCGTGCCGCGGCTGCTGCTGCTTCCGCTTCCGTCCGCGTCACGGCACCCCAGGGGCTGCTCCGCCCCCCGCCACACCCCGCTGGCTGCTCCACCGCCCGTCGCGCCACGCCCAGCCCAGCCACAGCGGCCGGAACCGCGGGGGCGGCTGCGGCCATGATGCCGCTGGGGCTAGTTCGGAAGCTCTCGCGCTTCGCACCGTTCGTTGGAGGAGGCCAGGGTGCGTTCGCCCCTCGTACATCCCCGCCGTGGAGGCTGGCGCCAGTGCCCTATAGAAAGATGGGTGCTCTGGAGTGGCCGTGGCCATTGCTGCCCTTCACAAGGATGGCGGCAGGGCGAGGGCACTGCCCCTCTGCAGCCACGCCCGCAGTGGCGAGCTCCTTGCCCCACACAAAGATGGCGGCCGGCGAGGGTGTGCTGCGCAGCTGGCCAATGAACAGTCGCGTTGCTAGCGGTTGCCGTGGAAACAGCCAATGGCGAGTGGGGATGGACGCTGGCGGCGTGGCACCGTCCGGCGGGGCGGGGTGCTGGCAGGGGCGGTGGCCGCCACCGCCCCTCGGCGGGACGTGGTGGGGAGCGTTGTCGGTGGACAGCGCGGAGCCAGGTTAGCTCGGGCCGCGGGACTCTGCGCCGCCCGCCCCGCCCCGCCCCTCCCGCCCCGCTCCTGCGCACGCACTGGGCCCGTGAGCGTCGCCACGCGTGTCCCGGTGGTGGGCCGTGCGTGTATCAGTCGTGGGTGCATGAACACACCGGGCTGTGGGTGCATCAGCCGTGGGTGCACGGACACGGCGGGGTGCGGGTGCATTACCCGGGGGACAGAGACACTACGGGATATTGGTACATCGGGGTGCGGGTGCATCACCTGTGGGCTCGGTTACGCCCCCGGACACATTCCCCAGGTGAGGTGTGCGCGCATCCCCCGTGGGTGCGTGGCACGGGCCGGATGTCCGTGCCTTTGCCGGGGATGTGGGGTTCCACGGGGTCGTGTACCCCTCGGCCGCTGTGCGATTCGGGCTTTGCTGGGCGCGTTGTCCCTGCTTGCGGCGGGCGTGGTACATGCAGGCTCGGGTGGTGGGAGCCCAGCGCGGGCGCGTCCGGCTGCTGGGCGGGCTGGAGTGCTCGTGGGGTGCTGTCCTGTGTAGTGTTCGTGGGGTGAAGTGTCACAGGCCGTGCTGGCCGAGTTCACGGTTCACGAGCCCGCGGTATCACCCTCTCCTCCGCCTGGCATGGATGGGCGGGCTGCAGGGTGGGAGCCGGCGATGCGCTCCCGGTCCCTCCCATCAGCAGAGAGCACTGTTCAGTCGCTGTTCGCCTTGGCTGGGGCCATTTCTCTGGACACAAAGCCCTGGCAAGTTCCTGTTGTGCTTCTGAGTGCCGCGTCCTGCTGGTTCGTGTGGTTCAGTACCCACCTCTTGGGTGATGCACAGCCTGCTGTAAGCAGATAGACCCCGCTTAAATGCTGGGAGCCCCTTCCCGTCGGTGGCACTGCCTGAGCTGCACCTACAGCTGCTGGAGAGGCAGCGCCCAGCCCACCTGCGGGGCTGTCTCTATTCTCTATTCCCTGTGTGCTGGCCAGAGCTGTGCTGCGTGACAGGGCTCTGTGAGGTGTGCAGGGCTTCAAGGGCTGCTTGCTGTTGGCAGGCAGGTTTGCAAACCCCAGGTAGCTGAGCAAAGCTCTGAATCCCCAGGATCCTATCTCTGCTGTCCCTCTTAGGAGGAGTGACCTCTCATACCTGGGGTTCAGCTGGGTCTGCCCATTCTTGATGCTGAATCTGGAAACTTCACAAGCTCTCTGTTCCTTCTCCAGAACTGTCACTGAGCACAATCCAGCAAGCATCTCCTCTCCAAAACGCTTGTCTCTGCCTGGGACTGCCCCAGCTGAACTGAGAGTGGTGCCTGGCCTGAGCCTGCTCAGTGCAGGACCTCTGGGGTTCTGCTGGAGTGCCATGATGGAGGCAGCCAGTTCCTGCCACACTCCTCTTCCCGCCACTCACTCACATTTCACAGGGCTGTGACCCCCATGGGCTCACATCTCCCTGAGCCCTGCAGTGGGGTGGGCAGCAACCCGAACCTGGCAGCTGGGGTTTCAGAGCCTGGGCAGGGCAGCTATGCTCCTGGGGTCACGTTCTCGTCTGTGCTGTGCCCTAGCAGAGCTGTCCCCAGGGCAGACAGGCGCCTCTCTGCAAGCTGAGAGGATGCAAGGGCTCTGGGGAAGCCGAGCTGCTCTCCCTGCCCAGCAGTTCTCTGTGCCTCTCCCCGCCAGCTCTTGTCCTGCTGTGCCGGAGGCTGCTGCCATGACCCTCACCAAAGGCTCCTTCACCTACTCCAACGGGGAGGAGTACCGCGGCGAGTGGAAAGAAGGTGAGATGTGGCAGCCTGTGCTGGGGGACAAGCAAACCCCACATCTCTGCTCAGCTCCACACTGGGGCAGGTCCTTCCTCTGTCCAGTGCTGCCTATCTATGCTCTCTCTAGGTCGCAGGCACGGCATCGGACAGCTGACATTTGCTGATGGCACTGCTTACGTGGGACACTTCGAGAATGGACTCTTCCACGGCTGCGGCGTGCTCACCTTCTCCGATGGCTCCAGGTGGGCACAGTACTCCTGTGTACACCTCCCCAGGCATTCCCACTTGCCGTGGGGAGCTGCCGCCTCAGGAGATCCTCCCACACAGGTACGAAGGGGAGTTTGTGCAAGGCAAGTTCAATGGCGTGGGAGTCTTCACTCGCTGTGACAACATGACCTTCGAGGGCGAGTTCAAAGGCGGGCGTGTATATGGCTTCGGTGAGTGCTGGCAGCACGGTGCAGGTATCTGCACAGCCTCTGCTCAGCACAGCCCCTTCCAGCATCTCCTGCTTCATCCCTCCTTCCCCGGTGGGTGCAGCTCCCTGCCTCTTCACTCTTAGCCCTTCCCTCCCGTCCCCAGGTCTCCTGACCTTCCCTGATGGCTCCCACGGCGTGCCCCGCAACGAGGGCTTCTTTGAGAACAACAAGCTGCTGCGGCGGGAGAAATGCACTGCCATTATCCAGAGGGCCCAGGGTGCCTCCAAGTCTGCCCACAGCCTGACAGCGTGATGGTGCCCCACGTCCCCTCCCACCAGAGCAGGGACCCCCCTACTTAGGCACTGGCTGGCCCTGCTGGCCCTGGAGAAGGGAAGTGGTGCTGCTGGGTGCCTCCCTGCCCTTCTTCCCCTCCAAGCGTCCTCCTGCCAAACCCCTGCCGCTGGAGGGGATGGGACCTCCGCTCTCCACCCAAGTGCCCTGGGGCAGCCGTGGTGCCTTCTCTTTCTGGCTGAAGCCCTGGCACCTGCTGGTGCAGCAGAAGGACAGGGTGACAGGGGCTTGGCCTGTCTTCCCCCCAGGAAGACTGTGGACCACTACAGCTGCTAGCCAGCTGCAGAGGATGGAGCAGAGGGGCAGATACTGGTCCCTGACCCCACTGCCAGGGTGCCTTGGCTGGAAGCTCCTGACTGAATCATGTGCCCCAGAGGGGCAGCTCCTGGCTCACTTTGCTGCCCTGGTCCTGGAGGCAGGGTGGGCACCCCGAGCATACCATGGCCTGCACCCTCAGCTCTGGGTGACTGACCATCTCCCTGCATGCCCAGGGTATGGTGACATTGTGTCCCCAAAGAGCCCAGCCTGCTCTCAGGGCCAACCAATGGGCTGTGTTCCCCTCATCCCTGTGCCAATCCACCCATTCACCCACGGCCTTGGGGACATCAGCAGCAGCATGCCCACTAAGAGGGACTGAGGAGTACCCAGCCTGGCACATGTCTGCTGCATGCTGGTGGAGGATGGCGGCAATGGTGAGCAAGGAGAAGGGTCAGATGGAGCCTAGAATGAGGGACATGAGCAGGGCTGTGTGGTAGCCAGGGCTGGAGCAGGAGGCCTGGGCAGGGTGGGAGGGGATAGAGGTATGGCAAAGGGGCAGGCAGGGGGCACATAGTTCCCCATTTTTGCCCCCCACATGCGTTCTTCATCGCCCCATTGCATGTTCATCTTCACCCCCGGTGTGGTCTGGCTGGCTGTGGCACAGGGGTCCCAGCAGCCCTCACTGCCCACTGTTGCAGGGGCTGTGCCCTCCCTGTCAGTCTCTGCCTGCACTGGGTCCCGTGCCTTGCTATGACCCTGCCTTGTGCTGCTGCCTGCACGGGCCTCAGCTGAGTAAACCATGTTGCCAAACACCGTGCCATGTCTTTTTTGCTGGGAGCAGGGATGGCATGGGGGCCTTGCACAGACAGGGCTGCAGACACAGAGAGGAGATGGCAGGTTTATTCATGGCACAACGATCTACTCCTTCCCAGGCAAAGACAGCAGGACCCTGGGGGCTGGCAGGGATGCGGGCTGGCTTGGGGTTGCCCTCCTCCACCCACTTTGCCCAATGCAGCCCTGTCTAACGGGAAAGAGTAACATGGGCAGCCTTCTCTTGGCCACCTCCGAGTGTCCCCAAAGTGTCCCCAATTCCCAGGGTCCCTGACTCCTGTACCTTCCCAGTGTGGGAAGGGGCAGATGGAGAACTCCTCACAGCCAGCCATTGGCACTGAAGGTGCTCCTCAGCTCTTCAACCTGGGCAGGGCTCAGAGGGGCCAGGGGTGCACGGCAAGGACCTCCATAGTAGCCAAACCACTCCATGGCCTTCTTCAGCCCTGGGATCCCAAACCGGCGGGTGACCTGTGGGAGGGAGGGAGGGCATGGAGGCTTTCTGGCTCCCATGGGCCAGCACACTCTCTGGGCTCTGCTGTGCAGCCCCTGCTCCTTTGCTTGCCCATCACTCCCCATGTGGGGCTGCAAGGCTGGCAGGGTGTGAGGTGGCTGCAGCACCCCATGGAGTGCCCACTGTGGGGTGGGGGTGCAGAGCACACCTGCACAGGACTCTACACAAGAGCTCTGTGGCACGGTGGGCTCTGCAGCACACTCCACAGTGTTCCACAGTGGAATGAGTGAGGGGCCCAGGAAGGAGCAGCTCTTCCCCCCACACAGTGCTGCCTATAAATAGCCAACAAGGCTTTCACAGAGGGTCAGGCAGTGCCCGGTGCCAGTGGACCAGCTGTGTAAAGGCTGTTCCTTAACATGACAGGGCTGGCACTTCCCACCTTCTCATCTCCAGCCTGTCTCAGCTTTCTGGTCAAGGTGCTGTGCTGTCCTGTCCCCCTGAACCACCCTTCCACCCCTTGCAGCCCCAGGGACTTCCATTCTTTGTCTCTGTCATGGCCTGGCACCCCCTCCACTCAGCATCCCAGGGGTTCTGCCTGCTCACCGCCATGTTGGGCTCAATGAGGCGGTGCTGCAGATCACGGGCCTCCTGCCACTGGCCCTTGCGGCACAGGTGGTCCAGCTGACACAGTGGGTCACCCAGAACATTGGCGAGGGCACACACACCCCCAGAGGCACCTAGAGACACCAGGACACATTGGCAGCCAGCTCAGCATGCTGTGCCTAGCCAGCACTTCCCAATGTCTCACTTGTCTCCCCCTTCCAGTGTCCCCAGGCAGCGTCCCCAGCCAAGGATGGGCAGCTGCACTTACCCACAGCATAGCTTGCCAGCAGGAAGCTGGCTGATCCTGCCAGCACCTGGAAATCCTCCTGCCTTGTCTTGTGGACCATCAGCCCCATGCGGGTGATCTGGGGAGAGAGATGCTATGCCCTGGGGCAGGCATCACCCAGTCCCCCTTGCTGCAGGCTGTGTTCTGGCAGCCCTGAGGTCCAGGGAAGGGCTGCAAGTCCCAGTTCCCCATTCCCAGCTTAGGTACAGGTTTGGTGGTAAGCAGCCCTGGGAAAGTCATGCCCCACTCACATCCCCACCGCTGTCCTTGATCCCAATGATGTTCGGGTGCTGAGCCAAGGTGATGACAGCCTCCATGGGCAGGTCCATGCCAGTGTTGGCAGGGACACTGTATAGCACCACAGGGATGGGGGATGCGTCGCCAACCTGCAGGTGGCAGCCAGGAGATTTCAGTAGCTGGGGTGGGTTGGGGATGCATTGGACGTGTGTGTCCTGCTGCCCCAGCTGGAGTTGCTGGCAGGCACTGGACATGACTCACCTCTGTGTAGTGATGGACCAGGGCAGCAGTGGTCATGGCCCCCCGGTAATAGCAGGGTGTGACAACCAGTGCCACATCAGCCCCCGCCTCTGCCATGTTGACTGTCAGCTCGATGGTGGCCTGGGTGGCTGGGGAGGAGGCAAAGGGGTGAAGGGTGCTCCGGGGGGGGACACATGGCCCCTGCACTTCCCCCCACACTGCCCACACAGGCACTCACATTCACAGCCCGAGCCAGCCATCAGCAAGCGGTCCCTGGGCAGAGCCCGGCGCACGCAGCTCACCACCTCCACCCTCTCACGGGATGCCAGGTACGGATACTCCCCGTTGGAGCCCAGCACCACCAGTCCTGGAACACAGATGTGGGGAGGGCAGGGCTCAGGCACAGGAGAAGGGTGCCAGGACTGTCAGGTATCCCCATTACTTTCACTCCCTTCTTTGCTGCTGGCACCCAGGCAGAGCTCCACAGCCCACAGTGTGCCCTCTCCTGCCTATCTCCTTGCAGTCCCAGCCTCCTGGTCAGAAGAGAGGAGACTCTGAGGAACATCCTTGTGAGGCTGCAGCCTCTTCTGAAGCTCCTATCATCTATCCATCCTTGGCAATAGACAGATACATATCCCATGAATTTTTGAGTGTGCATGGGAGTGCATTGCATAGGTTGAAGCCTGCAGCTATGTGTGGAGCATGTGTGCAAGCCTGCACGTGTGGAGTGTGTGTGCAAGCAAGTGCTAGCGTGTGGTGGGGGTGTGCAAGGACACACTTGTGTGCCTGAGGACGTGCCGTGCAAAGGGCCCCAGGTGGGTGACCCGAGGAGTTGCCAGCCCTGGAGCAAAGTCCAACTGGAGGCTGAGCACTCTTGGGAAGCTGGCAGGCTGCCTGCATGCTGCCTCTGTGGCCGGCAGGGATCTGACGGGAGCCTGCATGGAAAAGGACAGTGGGCAGCACTTACCTCGGAAAGGGATGCTGGCATAGCGGCGCAGGTTCTCCTCCAGCTGGGCATAGTCCACCTCCTGTGTGGGTGAAAAAGGGGTGGCCAGGGGTGGAAAGATGCCCCCAAGATTGAGTGAGGGCTCTGATCCCTGGGGGGTGCTGAGCCCTCGGCACTGCCTGCAGGCTGCCCAGTGCAGAGCTGCCAGGGTGGGCCGGAGGGAGGAGGCGAGGAGGGTGCTGAATGCCATGGTGGCTGGGTGCTGCCGCTGGCTGTGCTGCTTGCCTCGCCAAGGGGCTGTTAATGTTTGACGGGGCACGTGAGGGACCCGCAACCCTGCTGGGCAGATGACATGGGGGTTGTACCAGATGACCTCAGGATGTTCTTCCCCCTTCAGGAGCTGGCTGCAAGGAGCGCAGAGCCCCTCCAGATGAGCTTTGGCCACCGCAGCTGCACCGTGTTTTCCCTTCTTCTTGCCAACTCTGGCAGCCATCCCTCTGCCTCATACAGGGCTGGGCTGCAAGGCCAGGGAAAGACCAGGCATTGCAAGCAGTCCCAAGGCTTTGGTCAGGGATCACCTGATCCAGTTATCAGTGTAGGGTCTCCTGTAAAAGGGTGAGTGTGATCATTTCCGTATAGGGAGCAGTGAGCACTGTGTTCAGCATGTGTACAAAGGGACCATGTTTCCCGGGAATGGCTGCAGCAGGAAAGGCAGAAGGACAAGAAGCCATCCAACCCCACAGTGGCTGTTCAGCACAGGTACAGCTGCTGCTCTCTGGCAAAGCCCCGGCTTCCAGCACAACGTGGACTCAGGTTGAGCTGTCCTCTGTGGACACACTGTTAGAGATCTAGGAGGGTTGCAGCCAGAGGATCATTCCCAGGCTGGAGCTTCTCCTGGTTCTCTTGGCTCCGTTCCCAGGCTGGTGGCATGTTCGGCTCTGGTAGGGAGACTTCCTCCCGAGATGATGGTTTGGTCAAAATAGAATGGAATTAATGGCATTTGGATTGGCACCTGGTGCCGGTAGGACTCATTCTGGGGTGCTGTTGCAGGGGCGTTTTCTCAGTTGTCCAGTGGGCTACTGTCTTGTCTTGGCTCTGCGGAAGACCCTATGGGTACGAATCATGCTCTCAATAAATGCCTTCTTTCCCTAAGGAGGTCTGTGTGTGTTGCTGTCATTGCTCTCTCTCTTTAGCTCAGTAACCACAGTCCTCCATGTATTTTTCCTCCCTGAGCTTGCCCACGTGGGACTTTGAAGGACTGCGAGCAATCTGTGTCCTGCAGCGAGGAGTCCTGCCTTTGAACCACTTGGAGTCACCAATACTTGAGTCCTAGTGATAGGAGGCAGGGCTCATCATGCTCCCAGGATAACCCAGCTTTCCCAGGCCCATCAACCCTGGTGCAGGCTGCCCAACCTCAAAGCCACCTGGAGCCAAACACTGCTCTTTGCTGACTTTTATTGACAAGTCTTGTTTGGATCTTGCTCCTTGGAGCTGAGACCAGCCCCTGGTCCCTGCCTGGTGTCATCATGCAGGGACCTCCATTTCCCCCTGTGGCTGCTCCTTGGTCTCCAGCGCCTGGCGTGTGTCCACCTGCCACTGCTGCACCAGGTCTGTTGGGGTCTTGCCAGCCTACAAGAGTGGGCAGAGAGAGGCTGGGCACAAGGTGGTGCAACATGGTGGGGCAGCAAATGACCTTGGTGCTGGCCCCTCACACTCACCTCATTCTTGGCCATCATGTCAGCCCCATGCAAGATCAGTGTTTTAATGATCTTGTAGCGACTGAGCCGTGTGGCATCATGCAGCGCTGTGTCACCTTCCTGTAAGAGACACAGCTTCACTGGAGATTGTGGTCCAGGGACAAGGACCCTCTGCTTGTCCCCGGCACTGCTACCCAGTCCCCAGCACACCAACCTCTACACGGACAATGGGGACTGTTCCTATCCCAGATCTGGCTGTGGCTGCAACCACCAGGGGCAGGGATATGTGTGTCCAGATGTGCCCCACTGTGGGTGCTGGAAGCCTTTGGAGGGGTCAAAGGAAGGAAGGGGATCAGTGTTGCCCCCCAGTGATGCCTGCATGGCTGCAGCACTCACCCTGTCTGGGGCATTGATATCCACCCCGCAGTGGATGAGATGCTCCACAATGTCAAGGTGTCCGGTTCGGGTGGCCACATGAAGGGGTGTGCTGAGCAGCTTGAGGGGGGATGAGATGGACAT